TTTACTTCACTGGTGATTATAAGCCACATAAATTTCAAATTTTTATATTTCCTATCAAATTATCATGATAAAAATTTGATTTTTATTACATTTTTCGTGTTGAATGAAGATTCTTTGATGCAAAAAAAGTTACAGTTCTCTCTCTTTTTCAGGGCGTTTCTCGAACTCTCGCTGAGAATTCGAGAACCTTGAGATTACCAACTCATTTGCATGAACGATTGAGCTCCATTCACCATGCAAAAATCAGGCTGCAGGAGAAAGGAATCACTCCATCTATTGATGTAAGAAAATGTCTATTTTACTGTTATTATTGTTTTTTTTTTCTGGTTCATACAAACTGTAAATTCTTCAATTTACTTTGGTTTTTCTGCAGAATATTGCAGAGAGTCTGAATATGTCAACAAAGAAAGTGAGAAACGCTACTGAGGTGAGAAAATAAGAAAGGAAATTTACATACATACCGCACAATTCTTTTGTAGACCTATGCCTGAAAATGTGCATTTTACTTTTAAAAAAAAAGTAGTAATGATACTTTTAATAATTTTACTTTTAAAAAATAAGTAGTAATGATACTTTTAATATGATATTAAAGATTTCAGTGTTATGTATGTTAATAAGAAAATTTTGATGTTTGGTTGATATTAAAGATTTCAGTGTTATGTATGTTAATAAGAAAATTTTGATGTTTGGTATGTAAATATATAAGAATTGTGTGGCATGCATAAATGTCCCTAATATGAATGTTCAGTTTGGTTTCAGGATCATTTTCTGACTATGATCTGTGGTACAGGCAGTCAATAGAGTTCTATCTCTTGATAGGGAAGCTTTTCCTTCACTGAATGGCCTTCCTGGAGATACTCTCCACAGTGTATGCATCCAATCTGCAGAATTAGCAAAATTGAGTGATTTGTCAAAAACTATTTACACCAGATCATTTTAGTCCCATAATCTATAAAAACGTCAAATTAGTCTTCTGAGTCTTTAAATCGAGGCAGAAATGATCCTTTGTTGGGGGAGTCTGGGAACTAATTATGTTAACATTCTTATAGACTCCAAGACTAAAACTGTATCTCTTACAAATGTTTATTGCGTTCAATTTATCTAACAAATCTGTCCTTTTTCAGTATATTGCAGATAATAATGTCGACAACAATCCTTGGCATGGTTTTGAAAAATGGTCACTTAAGGTAAAGAGGCTAAAAAGCTTAAGATGAGTGGTGCATGTTTCAAAAAATTTTTAAGCCTTCAAATCTAATTTTTTTAACATAATTTCCATAAATATAATGACTTCTTAGACCCTAAAGTCTTGCTTCTTTCTGATTCAGGATGAGGTTCATAGACTTCTTAATACAGCCCTTAGCAAACGTGAAAGAGAAATTATATGCAGCTACTATGGCTTAGATAAGGCCAATGAGACATGGGAGGATATTGGCAAACAGTAAGTATCAGCTCCAGCATTGGAGATTTAAATACAGACCACCAAATTCCTATGTATTTACATATCTAACGCCTAAACTTTGTTGTTTACACTTACAGTACCACCCCAATCTTTCATATCACAAAAAAAAACCATAATTTACATATCTAACGCCTAAACTTTGTTTTTTACACTTACAGTTTCACTTTTATAAAATGAAATAGACCTTTTCATGCACAGATAAGATAGTATGCATGTAAATAAGTGAAGTTTTGGTGTTAGATTGTAAATACATAGAAGTTGAATGGCATCTTTGTCAATCTTCCTTTTTTTTATACATTATTATTATTATTATTATATAAACTTGTCAAAAGACTGCTTCCTCAAGTTTTGAGATGCAATTTTTCACCAAGAATGGCACACAATGCTCATGTATTTATTAATCTAACACCTAAACTTTTATATTTACATACATAACATTTTATTGCTTTAAACATGCGTATGAAAAAGTTTATTTTACTTTTAAAAAGTGATAATAATACTGTTTTTGATGTGATGGTAAAGAGATTTGAGTACTATGTTTGTAAATACGAAAAATTAAGTGTGAGATATGTAAATACATTAGAAGTTTGTGGTATATATGCAAACACTCCTTTTTCTTATTATTATTTAGATTTTTATATACATTTGCACCTACTTGCCATTTTCAAACTCTCACACCTATCTTCATCAGTCATAATCTTTAGTCAACACCTACCACTAACAATACTTTTTCAATTATTTTCTCCATAGAAACATAGACTTTCTTAACAAATTTCACTAACTCAAACCTTCATATTAAACTATATTTGATACATAATAATGCCATGCATGCATATGTAAAAAGCATCATGACGAATTACACTGTATGATTTCATATAATTACATACTGACACCAATCAGACTTGGCTTGTCGAGGGAGAGAGTCAGGCAAGTGGGACTGGTCGCCATGGAGAAGCTAAAGCACGCAGCAAGGAGGAAGAAGATGGAGGCACTGCTGGTAAAACATTGAAGCTTCTTCCACTTCTATATTTTATTGTGTATAGAGGAGAATACAGAAGTTGTAAATCCATATTTGTTTCTCACTGCTGGAAAAAGTAAGCATACATGTAAATTTATGAACTAAAACTTTTTCGCACTGATCTGTGCTGAGGCGAGTTTCTCCCTATTTTGTGGTTTCAAGACACAAATTTTCAGATATAATGCACAATTATTCTGATGTATTTACATGTATATTGAATAACTAAAGTTTGATATTCACATTTTTAGCACTTTTGTGTCATAAACATATGTGCATGAAAAGGTGTATTTCACTTTTAGAATGTATGTTGTTGAGCCGATGGGCGGGAGGCACCGAGATGGGAAAAGAGTAGTTTTGGTGAGAGCCTCAACAACAATAGTTGCCATAATAGTTGGCGTGGTATAACAATGCCCATGTTTCCTTGTGTTGCTACCCTTCGGGCATTGATGCATGGTGTGACAAATGATTCGGGTCATCGAGATGTGGTCCTTACGGATTGATGAAAGGTATTGAAAAACATCATAAAAGAATCTACATGGTCTTTATTGACCTTATTTTTTGCCAACCAAATAATGTTCGACTCGACACACACACATGGCCCCTCCTTACACCGGCGTGGTCACGCCTGGTCCGGGCACAGCCATGCACAGAAGATCCTAGGGGTGGTCACGCCTGGATTGGGCGTGGTTACTCATGGTTCGGATGAAGCCACATCCAAAAATTTCTCGGTGTGGTCACCCCCAGCTCAGACATGACCACATCAGAAAGTTTTCGACATGATCACACAATCACCCATCAGAAAGTTTTTCTCCAGAAGTTTGATCCATCACCAAATCCAAATCGGAGGTGGTAAACGAGAACATACCTTCCCCGATCTCTTTTCCCGTCGATGAAGGTTGAGAGGCAAGCTAGGAGGCACTCACTGCTGAGGGATCAGAAGCAACTCTCCTCATCTCTAGTCTGAACATGTGGAGAAAGGTCAAGAGCCGAGTCTTTGTCTAGCCCATTACTCAACTTTGGAAGGGTTGGAGGAGGAATGTTTCGGCTAGCCCGATCTTCATATGAAAGATTACCCCCGCCACACAACACTTTTTCACTAGAAAGTTAGCCTCTGCTACCAGAAGACCTTCTAGGGAACATTAGTTATTCGAGTCGGAAGATCCTACATCTACCACAGGATCAGAAACTCTTGTCTCAGACATCGGACGCATTCCAGACCATTCCATCTTAGAGCTAGATCTCACCCTCTTCTTCAAGGTCAGGACTACCAAAGCTCGAGCCTCCTCACTAACAGATTTTGGAAACTTTCCCCTTTCCATGCACTGCACCGCGAAGGTTATATGAAGTGAATCTGGAAGAATGCTCAAGAGCTAGTACCCTCACCACATTTATAAAGACTTGGGTGGAGAAATCAAGAAGTGATTAAATATTGCACATTTAATAGTCATGAATATCATAACTTGTTTCAAAAATTAAGATTCTCTTATCCTTATTGCAGTTGTCGCTATAATGGAACGAGAGAATAGAGGAACTTTAATTTGTACATTGAAAGCGTGCAAGCACAATTCACAAAGACATCTCACAGATGGAGAAGAGGCCGATGTGACCCCGCGAGACCTACCTAAGACGACTCAGGGCCACTCACCCAGCCTGCTGGTCCCACTAACCAAGAAAGCGGTGCGTTTCAGACCGATGAGGGGTGGGTTGCACTTCAAGAACCCACCTATCCAGGACCGCTCAGACGAGTCCACCAACTCAAATGAATCGAGAAGTGAAGTGGTTCCCCCAGTTCCAAGAAGGTTGATGTAGACTCTAGCAAGTAATCGCCCGATCTGATAGACTCTAGGCTTCATAGTCGCTCGGCCTAGCTGCTCAAGTGGGCCCCATGGGTGGCATTTACGTATGAACTAAAATACCCCCGATGTATCTAAGTATTCTAGGGGTATAGTATGTAAACACACGAAGACCCATTTCTATAAATTAAGGATTCATTTCATGAATAAAGATTATGAAAAGTTACTGTTCTTTACTATGCTATTCCCCCCACCTCTCTCATCCTCCAGTGCTCTATTCCTTAGAGAAGTCTCTTAGACATAGATTCAACAAATAGATATTTTAAAGTTGATTTTAAATAAGTGAAAAGTGAACAAATCTGGTTTTCGTGAGGAAACAAGTTGACTAGCCCTGAGTGGTGTCAACTAAATAGATCCAATTATGTTGTCATGTCCTTGTAGCTGTTGGATGTTGATTGGGCTAAATTAGTTTGGCATAAAGATTATGAACTTAGATATTTTACTTTTATTGGACGAATTTCTCTTGGGACTCGAAAAGTATAATTCATCAGGGTTGTCTTTCGATAGATTTATATTGAATATAACTTAAATTTTATGAGATAAAAATAAACTGAAAACTTTTTAATTCTTGATTTTAGTAAATAAAGTTCTCTTCTCAATTTTGTCCTAAATCCTGAATCTATTAAATCTTAGTGTTTGCATGATTTAACAAATCTAGATTTACAATATTTACTAAATTCCTTAAATGCATAATTTTAATATTCTCTTATTCGTCATTTTTAGCGGGGTGAATTATGTGAGTTCCTCTCATTCAATCATATGCATTTTCCTCTCACTAGTTGATTGAAATTTGCTTCCTCTATCTAGGAGCAGCTTTATGATAATATATTCGTGATAGGGTTGGTGTAGCTCCTCTGAGAGACAAAATTAGAGAAAGTCGTTTTAGATGATTTGGTCACATTAAACATCGACTTAGATGGTTTGGTCACATTAAACATCGACTATCTGATGATCCGATTAGGAGAATAGATGTTTTAGATTCGACTTGTGTTAAGAAAGACAGAGATAGACCTAGGAAAACTTGGGCTTATTGTATTAAAAATGATCTTAATTTACTAGAACTAAATGAAAATATGACACTAAATAGGACCCAATGGAGAAAAAGGATTCATGTAGCCGACCCCACGTAGTGGGATTAAGGCTTTGTTGTTGTTATTGTTGTTGTTGTGTCTAGGAGCAGCTTTCTTTGCCTCCTTCAATTATTTAACAATGCTTTTTTGATTCAGAGAGATTTACTTTTATAAACACATTTTCATATTGAAAGATAGTAATTATAAGAAAGGAACAATTAAAATGAAAATGGTACATATGTGACCTCATGCTAGTGGAACTTTTTGTTTAATTGTGTATTTGCACCCAACATAGTGATTGAGAATATAATTCCTTAAAAGAAAGTACATATTATCCCTTGGACTCACCTTTCTCTAAATGAATGAGATATATATATATATATATATATATATAATAAGTTTAAAAAATCAAATATTCTTAAAAGATTAGAGCCATGTGTTTCAAAGAGCTGAGTTGGCTCACATGCCCATTCAAACTCACCTATTAGCTTACCTCAGGGGTCAAGTTTATTGAGCCACGAATTTGAGCACGAGCTTAAACTCAAACTTGTTTATTAAATGAGCTAGTCTAGGTTTGCAACCTTGCTCTATTAATAAGATTCTAGCCACGCTGTCATCTTCTCCGACGAGCTGCTAGCTTAAACTCAAACTTGTTTATTAAATGAGCTAGTATAGGTTTGCAACCTTGCTCTATTAATAAGATTCTGGCCACGCTGTCATCTTCTCCGACGAGCTGCTCGAACAACACTTCCTCTTACGTACCACCCAATTACTACATATTTACATGAATAACATCTAAAATTTGATTACAGATGCATTTCTTTTTTATTTTTATTTTTATTTATTTATTTATTTATTATTATTTTATTTAGTTCCTCATGCCAGCTACCAAGTGGACGGTTGATGCCCTGTTTGCCCACATTTTAAAAAAAAATGTTCCAAATTTATGAATTTTCTTTCTTTTTGCCTTCTCCAATTTTCAGTTTTGAAACGTCTCTCTGCGCCTTCAAAAAAAGACTTTTGACCGAACAACCAATGTTTTTTAAAATATTAAGATTGAATAATTATTTAAAAATAATATGCTGATAAACTAGATACGATGAATATTATAAATTTTTATTTTTCTGAAAAAGTCAAATAGTAGACAGGAAGCTGTCATCGCGGAGAAATATTTGCGTACATAAGATGTACACAACGCTGCGTACATCAGAGGTTATTCTGGGGGTACAGGGGAGTTATATCCGGGTTATACCGGAGGTTACAAGGGGGTATAACCCAGATATAACCCCATTGTACCCCCTGAATAACCCCTGATGTACGCAGAGCTACGTACATCTTATGTACGCAAATATTTTCCGTCATTCGCGATGTACAAATGCTGTTTTCAGGATTTTGAAAACGTATAAGCTGCCAAAATGCAGTTTACCAAAATAGACGAGGTGCGTTTTCCAAACGCCACTACACCAAATAAGCTGCCCCAAACAGATTTAAAAGCAGTAGAGCATTTATATACATACCATCAAATATTTATGTGTCTATAAAAATTTTACATTTTTTTTTTTACATTTATAGCATTCTAATGTTTCACATGACATAAGAAATACCTCTATTTTAACTTTAAAAATATATATTTTTTCATGCATTAAAAAAAAGTGTTATGTATGTAAAAATTTAATTTTAGGTATTAATATGCAAATACATACGATTTTAGTGGTACGAAAGTAAATTTTTCAAACTTTTATATAAACAGCACCCCTGCCTCCTCCATTCTAAAATCTCAGCGCTCCTGTACTCATCTTATTCTACCAACCATGCCTTCTTCTGCTCCCATGGTCGAAATCATCTCCAAACACACAGTAAAACCTCCAACAAACTCCTCCCACCCCCCTCTCTGCCACCTAACTCCATGGGACGTCGCCATGCTCTGCCCTCATTACATCCAAAAAGGTCTCCTCTTCACCAATCTCCCCCCTTCCCTTCCCATCCACCACCTCCTCACCACCCTCAAAGCTTCCCTCTCCATCACCCTCCAACACTTTTACCCACTCGCCGGCCGACTCGCCACCCCAAACCACCTTAACGGGCGGTGATATCTTCATCGCCTGCTGCTTCAACCACGTCGTCGGCGACGGAACTTCATACTGGAATTTCTTTAATGCTTGGGCCGAGATAACCAGAACCAATTCCTTATCTCTCCCTCCGGTTCACGCCAGATGGTTCATCGACGGCGAAAACCCGCCGGTGAAGCTCCCCTTCTCCGACTCCTCCCCATTCGTCGAACGCTTTTCGCCGCCCGCTCTTCGCCAGAGATTCTTTCATTTCTCAGCCGAATCAATTGCGAAGCTGAAAAAGAAAGCGAATGAGGAGATAAGAACAGAGGAGAATGATCGGAAGCAGAGTCAGATAGTGATATCATCTTTCCAAGCTCTGTGCGCCATGATATGGAGGGCGATTAGCAGAGCTCGTAGATTTCCGGCGGAGCAACTGACGACGTGCCGTTTAGCAATACAAAACAGAGGAAGACTCCGGCCGCCGCAATCGCCGGAATACTTTGGAAACTCGATATACGCGGTAGAGGCGACGGCGGCGGCGGGGGAGTTGGAGGCGAATGGGTTGGGATGGGCGGCGAGGGAATTGAACGGAGCGGTGAATGGACATACGGACGAAGCGATTCGTGGAAAGCTGAGAGAGTACCACGCTGCGCCGATGGTGTACAAGATGACGATGTTTGATCCGAAGAGCGTGATGGTCGGAAGTTCGCCGAGGTTTGATATGTACGGCTGTGATTTTGGGTGGGGAAAGGGGGCGGCGGTAAGGTGCGGTCCGGCTAACAAGTTCGACGGAAAGGTGTCGGCTTTTCCGGGTAGGGAAGGAGATGGGAGCGTTGACTTGGAGATTTGCCTCCTTCCTCAGTTCATGGCGGATTTTCTGCTTGATCCGGAGTTCCTGGAAGCCGTTTCACCACCACCGCAGTCATTGACAAAGGGATTAAAATGAGTTTAATATATTTATTTAAGGATTTTTGAATTTCATTTTATTTAATTTCTTTTTTCTTAAGGATATTGAGAGATGGATAAATGCGGTTTATATATTCTATGATTTTGAGATACATAGAGTACTACAAAGTTTCATGGTTAGATCAAGCATAAACTTTTGGGTTACCGATATGAGATTTAATTAATCTTTAAATCTTATATACTTATAGTTAAATGCAACATCTTGATGAGAAAATTTTAACGATTCCAAGTTATACTTTGTAAAATATTCAAATACTCAAAAATATATCTTACAATAAAAATATTCACTCTAGATCATTCGAGATTGTTCTCGATATTAGTGTTATTTATAGTAATGTCAACCAAGATTAAGACTGATGACTGTAGAGAGCTCAGAGGCTAGGACAACCCTTAAGCTCTATAAAACTATCATAATCATATGCCTTTGCTTGCCCACCGCCAATTATATAATGCAATTGGATTGACGTTGTGTGACCAATCTAGTTAAACAACTAACGCTCGCTCACAATCATTGAATAACTGATGCATATCCACCGCTCTTAGATTTCTACTGCATATCCACCATTGCCAAAGGACTATCTTCATTTGTTCATCATCGTTGGATCACTTTCACTTGTCTTATGCCATTAGACTATCCCTATTGAACCACTAAATTTCATCCATTGTTGCTTGACCATTGCTGCTAGACTATTGGCACTTGATTATGACTATTTTGCCCTCTTTCACCATTCTCATCCTTCTAACTTCCGATACTTGAATAAGATCAACCAACCTTTGTTACTTATTTATGCCCGTCTAGCCTCTCAAAATTTTGAAACAACTCCTCACTCTTATTATGAAGGAGGTTGGACCAGAGGTCAATGGCTTGGACAATCCTTTAGCTCTACAAAACTATCATCATCAGATGCCTTCGCTTGATTACCACCAATTATCCAATGTCGTTGGATTGACATTCTGCGACCAATCTTGTTAGACAACTGACAATCGTTGAATAACAAATGCTTACCATGGCCCTTAGATGGCTACTACATATCCACAATTATCAAATTTTCTTTGCCCATCCATTGCCATCAAATCATTGACATCAACCATCATCATTGCCTGAGGACTACCTTCACTTGTTTACCACCATCAGACCACTATCACTTGTCTTATGTCATTAGGCTATCGCTACTGAACCACTGAATTTGCTTCATTGCTGCTTGACCATTGCTATTAGACTTTTGACACTTGATTATGGTTAATGTGTCCACTTTCCCCACTGTACGATTGCCTAAATACTATCACCCAACTAGGCCGTCGACCTCTGTATACCATTATTATATCTTTATTGTGCAAATATAGGTATTCAATCATCTCCCATCCACATTCATAAGGATCACCGGATCACCGAACCACCATCACTCAATCAGCTATGCTTGGCCATCCATCACCCATCTGTAATCACCAACCTATATTGCTTTACTTCAATTGTATGAGCTTTTGCCCATCAACAGTTCCCCGTCCTTAGACTTGACGAGTTCATTGCATGTTGTCGCCATCATTAATGATGTAAACATTTTCATATCATGATCATATGGACTTTGTAACGTTTAAGACTCCTCTTCTAAATAGTTAAGAAAATAAATGGAATAAAAGATCAATACAATTATCTTTGTGTTACTTTATTATGCAAAATTAAAATATTAATTATTCATTTTATCACGTGAATTTTACTAGTCTCAACAAGGAAAGTGTATTATGTGCAGCTGATCACATGTGCGGACCACAACGACGTCCAGATGCAATCATACTGTCGTGGATCGCACGAAGGCCCATCCAGACCATCATTATGGCCGCTGGTGTGCAAAAAGAGTTTATCAGATCCTACCATCTTTCAATAAATTTTCTTGTGCAGAAGGAGGCCATGCATTGCTTCCTTTCTGACAATTATTTTTCAGGTGTAATTACACACTAAATGTTTTTTTTGGCAGCTTAATTCTGCTTTATTTATTAACAGCTTTGTAATCCTCTTATACTTTAAATTAGTTTTATTTTTATTATTTCCAAACATTAAAAAAAAAATTAAAAAATTAAAAAATTAAAAAAAAAATCAAATAAATATCTCTCCTTATCCTCATCAGCCAGCTATAGTTTGGCTTATCCTGCGTCATGTTCAATCATTCTATTCTTATCCCTTGAAATTAAGACACTTAATATGTAATAATTAATTCAAAATAATATATCAACAATAAACCATCACCTGAATAAATTCTACTTTCAAAATTTTAAACTACACTTACATGATCTACATATGTACCAGGAAAAATTATTTCATATGGACACTGCATGCAGAGATTTATGCGGTGCATGCGGTGTCCGATCTCCATCTTCGATCGCCGCAAAGATGTATTTCAGTGAGCCCCACTTTCAATTTTTTTTTTTTTCTTAAAATTTTTGATTGCGGTGATCAACGGTGGAGATCGGACACCGCACATGCGGTGTCCGTATCGAATAATTTCTCATGTACTAGACAGTCCACATAGTTACATATCCGATACCTAAAATTTGATTTTTACCTTTATAATATTTTGATATCATATATTTAAGGTTAAAAATGTTTACTTTATCTTAAAAAAAAGTTAGCAATAATGATATTTTTTATTGATTTTAAGCATTTGAGTGTCATATACATGTAATTTGAAAGCTTAGGTGTTAGATATGTAAGTTCATAAAAATTGTGTGGTATCTATCCATAACAAATATATATA